TTATTTTATTTATTTTATTAATTAATTTATTAACAACTCTTACCTACTTACAATAATTAAAAATGAGTACACTTTTGGTTTGTTTTTAACCAGTTTTTAAGCCTGGAAGTAAACACTTTTTAAAGTCAGGAACAGTCTTGATGTCAGATGGTAATGAGTTCCAGAGTTTAGAGCTCTTCACAGAGAAGGTCGTCTGTCCAAAGCTGGTCCTGCAGTATGGTATTTTACAGTCATAATTTGTGGAGCTCCTAGTGACACGAATGCTGTTTTGTCTCTCAACAAATGAACTTAGTGGCTCAGGTGCTAAATGATTAATGCACTTGTAAATTAATTTAAGAAAACAAAAATTGCTAAAGCTCTCAAAATTCATTAAATAATGACAGTTTTAACAAATATGTAAAAAATATTTTTTACAAAAGTTACCTACAGCAGCTTTAAGGATGGTACAGTGATGATGGCGTATTGTTTTTTTATCCATAATGTTTATTGCTCGGTTGTATAGAGAACCTATGCGTTTGGTTGCAGTGGGAGCGGCTTGTGCCCATGCTGTAATGCAGTACGATATATGTGAAAAAAATCATAGCATGCATGTACAGCAGGGCTGCCTGGTTTGGTATGTAGCTTCTGATTAGTTTGACACAGTTGAGATTACTTTGTATAGTTTTTGACATTTTCTTTATATGCTTGTCAAATTTAAGTTGAGGGTCTAAAACCAATCCTAAATATTTAAATTCTGTAACTGGATGAATTTCTCTATTTTGTAAATTAGTATTAAATCTTCCTTTTAAATCCAGTGTTTTAATGTAAAAGCACATGGAGACTGTTTTTGAGAGATTTAGAACGAACTGATTTTGGATGAGCAGTTGTTGGATGTCAGACATACTAGTGGACAATACAGCTGCAGCCTGCTCAGGTGACTTGGCGGGTGCATAAAGGACTGCATCATCCGCATAGAGCTGACAACTGGCATCTGAGCAGTGCAGAGGTAAGTCATTTATAAAGAGACTAAACAGCAAAGGGCCAAGTATAGAGCCTTGCGGAATGCCCCTTTTACGTTTGAGAGTGTAGATATGTTTTGGTCAACTTTAGTCCACTCTAGGTCCACTCTAGACTGGAGATGAGATGTAAACCACAACACTGCCTAATTTGAGAAATTAAAATTTAACATTTTAGATAAAAGCAAACTATGATTAACCGTATCGAATGCCTTTTTAAGGTCGATAAATACAGCTCCCACCACATTGCTCTTGTCGAGGGACTTTTTTACATTTTCAATTAAACAGCAGTTTGCTATTTCAGTTGAATAACCGGTTCTAAACCCAAACTGGTGTGGGTGAAGGAGCTGTCTGGCTTCTAAATGGTCATTCAGTTGCACTAATACAACTTTTTCAATTATTTTAGATAAAACTGGTAAAATCGATATAGGGCGATAGTTGCTCATTGAGTCTTGGCTACCACTTTTGAACACAGGGATGATTATTCCTTTTTTCCATGAACTGGGAAATGTACTGGTTATTATGGAAAGATTAACAAGATGGGTCAATGGTTTGACAAGAACATCCTTATACTTTTTAAGAAAACAACTATTCATCCTAAAAATGTCATCAGACTTGGAATTTGAGAGTTCATTGATTATTTCTGCAACTTTTGTATCCGACACCTCTTTAATTTAAAATGAATCTGTTGAGGTGACTCTCATTGAATGATTGAGAGGATTTACGGGCTGGAATTCTTTTGATAATTCTTCAACTGATTGTACAAAATATGAATTGAATTCATCAGCCATAGTGGCACAATCGGTTATACTATTGCCATTGATGTTAAGTTCTGTAATCTTTTTGTGTTTATTTGATTTATTAGTCAGATTATTTAAATGCTTCCATAGTGAATTATTGTTGCCTTTAGCACTGTCAATTAGATGAGTGTAATATGTGACTTTTGCTTTCCGCATCTCAAATACGACTTTATTCCTTAAACTTCTGTAAATCAGGAGATCAGTATTAAGTTTAGATCTTAGAGATGTTTTCAAAGCTAAATCTCGCTATGTTTTCAAAGCTAATCGTCTGAATTTATCTGGCATAGGCTAAGTGTTGGTGCAGAAATGTTTTAAATGAAGTGTTGGCTGAAATAAAGAAATTGGCTGAAATCTTGTTAGCTACTTATTAGAATCTTTCTTTCAGGACCCCTATCGCCAAAGATGACTGACATTTAGCATACAGTTTGGATTGGCGGTATGGTTCTGTTCTAGGCAAGTACTCCCTGCACAGTTATGCAGCATGGCATGAATAAGAGCAGGGAAAGCAGCAATAACCCCCCTTAGGATAAACAGAACAGAACCAACATAAATGTATTGCAAATGGCATTAAACGTACAGTATGTAATTTTTGGCCACCAGGGGTCGCTAATCTCTTACAATAACAAAGGCGTATATCGATGACGCAAAGCATCAAGCGGAATTATGGATCTTGTCGTCAAGCTGATGGATCTTTTATGGATGAGTGAATACAGTGATGTTTTTAACATGACTGTGGTATGAAGTAGGGCGCGATTGCTAATGAGAGACAGATATCAGCGCCACACGCAACGCGAGTCCCACGGATATAAAGGAATAAGGACATTTCATTCTACCGAACTACACGCAAGTGCTGAATTAATAAGTTACTCACAGGTCAGTTTATTAGACGAATTAAACTTGAGGTAACGCAGTGCTGTTTCACTTGCTCTAACAGTTACACTATCACACTAAATGGCATTTGAGTGTGTTGAATGTTGTTAGTTAGGTTGTTTGTTGGCTGTATGAGACTAGCAGTAAGCTAGATCAACATTAGAATAACATACAGATCATATTCTAACATTTCATCATATTGAACTAAATAACATTGATTAGTTTTATGTACATTTGCTCACCTGTCTAATAAAGCACATGGAACACTCGCGTCTCTGTCAAGTCGAAGTTAGTCGTGGACATGGAGCTCTCGGCATCTCGAAAGCCCAGTTGTAACCCAGTTGTCCACGTCTGTCGCCATGGTTACTATGGCAGTACGAGCGGAAACCGAGGGTAACGCGGATATGACGCCATTGACTGGCGACTCCTCACCCCCTGCTGACACGTCCCGTTTCCTTGGTTAAAATCGCAATTTTCTCACGATTTACAAATAGTTGGAAACATTGGGGATATTGTAAGTAATCAACTAAACAAAATATATAACATTGGCCTAGTGGTTTTTGAATATTTTACTGCAAAAATCCTACATGTTGTACCTTTAATGTCAATATTTTAATGTACAACATAATTCGAGAAATTAGTCTGATTGAAAGGGGAATATCAGAATGCCAAATCCTGACTTGAAAAAGAGAGCAGGAGCTGGGGGTGGGGAGGAGGGTAATTAGCTCCAGAGAAACGTGATAGCAGCTGATTCTACTGAAGAAGCTTACATATCTATGCAGTGATAGGCGTCGTATTCCAATAGGTAGAAGTGAGTCAGCTGAGAGTCAGAACTGACCAGCCAGAACTAGCTTGATGTTTACTAAAAAAAACTATGTGTGGTATAGACATTATATAAATACCCGCTTAAAGAGAACTGTTTAAGTACTCTTCTATGAGATCAAACTTATGATTATCCTGATCCTGACCAAAAAAAAAAAAAAATCATCCCATGATAATATCGCAAAGACTTGAAAGTGGTTTATTTTTTTCAATACTAAAATTCTATATAATATTAAGTGTACTGTAGCCTACAGTTGAAATATATTACATGAAAGAATAATGTATTAAATGTCTTATTATTATTAATATTATTAAAGGTGCTCTAAGCGATGTCACGCGTTTTTTAGGCCAAAATATTTTTTGTCACATACAGCAAACATCTCCTCACTATCCGCTAGCTGCCTGTCCCCTGAACACACTGTAAAAAAAACGCGGTCTCTGTAGACAGCCCAGGCTCCACAAACAGCAACAAAAACAAACTGGGGCAACCCGCTCCACGAAACATAACAAACAGTGTTCCAGCCAATAACCGACTAGAAGGATTTGGGGGTGGGCTTAGTGCGCGTACACATGAAGGGGGGTGTGGAGGAGAGAGAAGCATGATGAGGGAAGTTAGAATTATAACTCATTAAGTTTGATATGACCGACACACGACCAAAGAGACGACGTTCCAATGAACAGATTGCAAAAATGCAAAGAAGAAGGAAAAGGAGAAGGAACACGCGAAGTCCCGAATTTACATTGGAAAAGCCTGGAGAGAAAAAGGTGGAGAGAACTCCTCCGGCAGAAGGGCTTCCAATCCGACATTCAGGTAGCTGAACGACGGAGCCGTTGTTTATTCTCACTGCGAAACGCGAAGCTATTAACTTGCTATTATTGCGTCCTTGTATGGGACCTAAAGTTATAACCTCAGGTGGCGAAACGTTTAATCGTGTTTTTCTGGTAATGTTTCTCTTTTTCTGCATTCTGTTCTGCATTATATGAAAGCATTTATCTAACTTGGCGACATTGCACCTTGAAGTATCAGTAAAACTACAGGGGGAGAGGACGGGATGAGGAGGAGGGAGGGTCTAGCTAGCCTCCGTTTTGTTTGACAATACTTCGAACGTCAACAAGAAGTGACGTCACCCAACATCGCTTAGAGCACCTTTAATACATATAGTAATTTATTGAAAATTGGTGTTTTAAAGATAATACTTGTTCAAGGCCTGTTCATGTGTATTGCGGCAAAACAATCAAAACCCAAATTAATCTGCGGCGGTCAGGAGGTACAGCAGTCAAGTGGTACAAGTCAGAGCTCCCCGAAAATTACGAGTTCACAAGTTATAATTACGAGTTCTACAAGGACTTGAGCGCTTTTCACAAGTTGGAATCTTGTCATTACGGTACGACAACGCACCTTATGGATAGCCTCTCATGGGTTAAAAAAACACACATATTGTACATACATTTTAACATGTCCACTACATAGATTATAACAGATTATAAAAGAGATGATAATTAAGAGTGTTACCTGTCCAGGCCCTGCAGTCTGCTCTCCACTATTGCTAGTCTGAGTTTATATTTCTCAGTGAGAGAGTGGAAGCTGTGAATAAGATCTGATCTGAGGTCAGGGTACGGGCAGTCTGCAGTGAAGATCTCCTCTGGAACCTTTTCCAAATATGCTACATGGCTTCCCATTGCTGCAGACTGTAGGTGCTCCTGTAGGACAGACAGTTTTATCTTCTAACATGGCTAATAAAATGTTTTACTACAATTTAATTACAACTTGAAAACGTTTTGTATACATTTCCACAACAAAACTCACTGATTAATGCATCATTGAAGACACAGTTAAATCAAAATTAAAGCTTTTTTAGCTGTCCATGTCTTTTTTAAATAATCTATGCGCATTCCTGAAATATAAGCGTATATGTGTTTAAAATTGACAGTCTGTCTCTCTCAGGAAAATGGACCAAAAATATTGATGCATCATGTTGGACTCAAGAATGTCCCTCCCCCAGACCTTTTGCCACCCGTCTAGAAATAGCAAGTCGTCAATTGTAGTCATGTAACTAATGACAATAATTTAATATATATAAAGTCAAGTATATATATATGTATATTTATGAATGCCTGCGGCCCATTAAAAATCAGCTAAAATCAATTAAATTAAAATAAGCTTTTTAGAGGCCACATAGAAAATTTGAATAACTTTTACCAGGCTTGACTGGGGCCGGTGTTGTGGGATATGGACAGATGGGGCAAGAGCAATGACTGGCCGTCACAGTGGTCTCGTAAAACAGGTGCAGGCAGTTGCCCATGCGGCTGTCTGGAAGCACTGCATTATCCATCGCCAGGCTTTAGCAACAAATAGTATGCCCCAAGAATTGCGTGTCGTTCTTGATGAGGCTGTCAAAATTGTGAACCTAATTAAATCGCGTGCCTTAAACACCCGTATGTTCTCAATCCTCTGCAATGAGATGGGCGCTCACTTCCAGCAGCTGCTCCTGCACTCCGAGGTCAGGTGGCTCTCTCGGGGCAAAGTCCTCACCAGGCTGTGTAATTTGCGCGAAGAAGTCCTCCTCTTCCTCACCGAGATTAACTCCCCACTGGCAAAACATCTGGCAGACATGAAGTGGCTTGCTATGTTGGCCTATCTCTCCGACATCTTCGATAGGATCAATTTCCTCAACACCTCTCTCCAGGGCAAAGAGTGCCACGTCTTTTCGGCACACGACCAAGTGGAAAAAGCTGGACTTGTGGTGTGCTCGTGTTGAACGAGGTTCAATGGAAATGTTCCCAACCCTGGAGGATGTTGCGGAGAAGACAGGGCTGCCTCTTAACTCTGTCCAACCGGTCATCCCTGCGCATTTGAATGGGTTGCGTGACCAGTTTGGCGAGTATTTTGGAGAGGACGCAATGGGAAATCAGTGGGTGAGAAATCCATTCTCTTTCCCCGCCATTCCCCCGTGATGGACTGAGCCTACAGGAGGAGGAGGCCCTGATCGAGCTCAGCTCGAATGTGGACTTGAAGCAGAGACTGGGAGAAATGCTGATCACGCGTTTCTGGTTGTCTGTGGAGAGCGAGTTCCCCCAGATCTCCACTAAGGCTATACAAATCATAATCCCCTTCACCTCCACCTACTTGTGTGAGTGTGGTTTTTTCTGCACTGACCCTGATTAAAAACAAATACAGATCAAGGCTGCAGGTGTAGGACGACTTGCGTTTATTTCTCTCTGCAGTGCAGCCCTGCATCGAACACCTCTGCGCATCAAAAGCGCGGCCTCATTGTTCCCACTGATATGGACGATTATATTGAAACTCAAAGTAGTGTTGTCTTGAATGCATAAATTGGTTGGGCCCTAGGGTTGATGCTGCTCTTGTAGCACAAATGACGTGAATGGCGCATTTTGTTTGTTGTTTAAATCTGAGGTTATATGTGGCTGAAATCGTTAAAAAAATTTATGAAAATATGTGAATCTGTTCAATCTGATAACATGCCTTCAATCCAGTTGACAGTTATGTGTTCCGTGACAACAGGGTTGTCGTTCATTGATCAGAGAGCTGTCCATTGTGCTGATTTTGTCCGAGATGATGTGCATCTCATTCAAATGTACGCATAAGGCCCAGACACACCGCACCGATTTCACATGTTAAGCATGTTTTGTTGACTTGTGGTCAGGCCTACTGATGTTCAGTGATTTTAAAGGGAGAGTTCACCCAAAAATGAAAATTCTGTCAGTAATTACTCACCCTCATGTTGTTCCAACCCCGTAGACTTTCTCGTTCATCTTCGGAACACAAATTAAGATATTTTTTATGAAATCTGAGAGCTGGATCAACTCCTCCATCCGCTTCTATGGGATTGAAACTTGCCGGCCCAGAAAAGTTATTAAAGACATTGTTAAAATAGTCCAAGTGACTACAGTGGCTCAATCTTAAGTTTATCAAGCAACGAGAATACTTTTTGTGCGCAAAAAAAACTAAAATAACGACCTTATTCAACTATTCATTTCCTTCTCTGTGGGCCTCGAGTGAGTTCACATAGTGTAACAGCGCAGCGCTTCTGTGTTGTACATCGGCAAGTTTCAATCCCATAGAAGCCTATCGAGGAGGGATCCAGCTCTCAGATTTCATCAAAAATATCTTAATTTGTGTTTCGAAGATGAACGGAAGTCTTACGGGGTTGGAACAACATGAGGGTGAGTAATTACTGACAGAATTTTCATTTTTGGATGAACTATCCCTTTAAAAGTAGCCTCAATTAGGCCTGCATGAAGTTGAAAATTATTTGCTGTTGCAAAGAATCATTTATGAATTCACTTTTTTTTTTTAAGTTGTGGAAATAAAATGTCTTCAAATACAATATTAAAAAATATTTACATTTTATCAGTTGTTATTGAAACTCATCATTGCATGGAACACACAAAAGATGGCATTTACTGCAGAGGCGTGTGTGGGTTAGGGCACGCGGACGGGTTTTTGGGGAAGGGGGGGCTCGGCTGTCCTTAGCTACTCACATTCACCCAATTTGAAAACCCCTGTCCTATAGAATAAGAGAAATCTAAAGTGACCTTGAGTTCATTAACACAGATGTCCTGCTGTAGAGATTCACATTCACATTGCAGTCTGTTCATCACCTCCTGTTGCTGAAGTCTGACAGACAGAACCTAAAACACAACGAGATGACGTTAATCAAAATTAGTAAATTATGTATCTTCTTCTCTCTCACACACACATTAATTAACACCATTGTCCAAAATGGATGTGTATGTTCAATAAAAAAACGTGTGTATTGCTAATTGTCATTGGGTACCTGTGGCATGACTTCCTCTAGCTCACTGATGTGATTGGCTGTAGAGCAGTGTGATGTCAGTCTGTACTGCAGATCATCTTTTAGGTGATAAAGAGGTTCTGCTGTGGTTAATCTAAACTTTTCACGTTCCTTTTCCAGCCCCAATTCTAGACACACACAAAACATGCACTTCAAGTAATATAATACAAGTTAAATAATATCAAATATCCTGAATAAGAAAAAGAAAATGCAAGTCCTAGGTCTGGTCAGGCTGGTCTAGTTTGATAGAGGGGTTTATAGAGGGGTTTTGTAAACCAGTTTGGCTAGCTAGGACATTAGCCAATGTGAACCCAATGTGATGTGGCAATAAATATGGTAATTTAATTTATTATTATATTACATTTATATTGTGATTTCAATATGAATATGTAGCTAATATGTATTCCAACAAAAAACAAAGGGAACTTTACCATATTCCTGTAACTGAGAAAAGATATCTATGTCTGCTTCCTCTTCAAGTCCAACTCCACGAAGAAAATGTTGAAATTCTTTCTCAGTCTTGTGCCTGAAACATTCAATAAACATTACAGTTTATAGAGATTACAATTTATATGAGATTTTCAAGTGCCAGAAATGAAGTTACAAATTACGAGTTGCAAGAGTCACAGTGCATGTCTACTGCAGTGGGAGAAATCCACTCAGTGCTGCTCAAATAGGTAGAGCTCACTTGCTTTGCAATGTAGAAAGTATGTCAAAAATTATGGTTGTTTTCAGTACAGTCATTCCATGTCACTCAGTGTTTTTTGCTTGACATTTGCATAAAGTTGAGCATTTCTCAACTTTTGGACACTCTGCTATGGAGGGATTACTCTGCCACTCTCAGCCCCGTTTCCCAATCTGCTGTCAATCCCACATTTCCCCCCATGAGCATGTAGCTTGGGTTCCATGAATTGAAAACATCTGTTTGGCTTCATTTACTCCATACCAGTGGACATGCACTAAACTAGATTAAGATGTGCCTGTGCAGAAGAGATGTGTCTTCATCTTAACGTGATGGTCGAAGCAGGTTCTGAAAAGTGACTTTTATATGTGAAACAGTTTGCAACAATAAGCATTTTTTAATAGTAGGCCACATTTGTAACCTGAGGTTCCCCCACATAACCGTCAAATGGTGCCCTCTCCTTTATACTGAACTCAGTTCCCATCACGTTTACTCCTTCATGTACTGTATCAGGAGCCTGATTCCCCTTTTTTAATTGCAAAGTATTATTTGTTTGGTCAGCAATTTTGAGCGTTTTCCCATTTACCTGTCTTGCCTTGCTTTTTGGATTATCTGCCTTGTTATATTGTGTTCTCTTTTGGATTTGGTTGCCTGATTGGGCTGTTTTCTTAATGTGTGACCCTATTTCCAATCAGTCCGATCAAGTAATTAGTCAGGAATGAGATCATGGAAATCATGGGTAATATTGGATAATATGGATAATATCACTGCTGGTTCATACACACACACACACACACACACACACACACACACACACATAACAAGGACTAAACAAGATCTCTCGCCGGTAAGAGATTGTGTATTAAATATACATATAATGTATAAATGTCCATGGATGTTAGATGTGGTAGGGTCTGTGACCCTTTTTTTCTAGGACCTTGTATGGATTAATGGTGCGTTCTATTATTGTCAACGAACCGACTCGGCCCTCGGATATGACGCCATTTCCACACTTCAAGCGTTCTGGTATGTTTTGTGCGTCCGAGTCGGAGAAAAAACATGGACGCCACCCGGAAAGCTGTTGCTATGGTAGCACTGGCCGAGTACCAGGCGCTTATCAAAACTCAGCCATTTGAACTTCTAAAATTGTCACTTTATTTCATGTTTTAGTTTATCTTCTGTTAGCAACGCTAGCCACGTTAGTAACACCCGTTTGAAACAAGGCTTCATTCAATATTGCACTCACAACAAGACCGATTCCCATACCCACAGGCAGTGATACGGACGCAGTAAGGTATTGCAGTAATACGAGTGATTAAAATCTTCATTTAAACAACCAAAGCGGTCCAAAAACAATGAAAACAATTCATACTAAGTCACACAGGGCGCAGCCATCTTGGATTCCGTATCAGAATTCTTGCTCGGTGTCCTCACGGTTGTCCGAAATCCGAGCGGGAAAATCCGAGGAAAGGGGGCGTGTTGCTAGGCAACGTCTGTCTTCCTAGTCGGAACTCTGACGTGGATAAATAATAGAACGCACCATTAATCCAATGATCCAATGTTTTTTCTGGTATCTCTATTATATCTTTTTGTATTCACTACCTTTTCGTGTAACAGGTATAGAAATTACACAGTCCTTCCAGAAAAACACAGTTTTTTTTTGTGATTGTTGTGGGCAAAAATCCTTGATTATGCGGCCCGTTTTCTTTAAAAATCCGATGGAATATGCGGGATATTTATGCAATTTTATGCGATGAAATTGCGGGAACTTGCAAAAACTCCGGGAACTTGCAAAAACTGCGGTTTGATGAAAAAGAGAAAAAAAAAAGTGATTCCCCCAACACCCTGTTCTCACTAGGCTACTACCTCAATGTAAAGAGTCATTTCTTATTACTTCCTATGATAAGCAAGCATACTACATCACAGAAAGTGCTGGGAATATTTAATTTCCCATCTTGTTCATGCGTTTATGACATCAAGACTAGATTATTGTAATGCTCTACTGGGTGGTTGCCCTGCACGCTTAATAAACAAACTACAGCTAGTTCAAAACGCTGCAGCTAGAGTTCTTACCAGAACCAGGAAATATGACCATATTAGCCCGGTTCTGTCAACACTGCATTGGCTCCGTATTAAACATCGTATAAATTTTAAAATATTGTTGATTACTTACAAAGCACTTAATGGTTTAGCTCCGCAGTACTTGAGCGAGCTTTTAAAGCATTATAGTCCTTCACGTCTATTGCGATCTCAAAATTCCGGCCAGTTGATATTACCCAGAATATCAAAATCGACTGCTGGCGGTAGATCCTTTTCCTATTTAGCACCAAACTTTGGAACAGTCTTCCTAACGTTGTCCAGGAAGCAGACACACTCTGTCAGTTCAAATCTAGACTAAAAACACATCTCTTTGACCTAGCATACACAACACATTATAGACTTCTATAATTCAATGTTAGGCTGCATAGATTAGGTCAGCCAGAACCGGGAACACTTCCAATAAATCCCGATGTACTTGTTACATCATAAGAAGGATGGCGTCAATGCTAATATTAGTCTCTGTTTATCCCGAGGTTTACCTCGGCCCACCGGATCCAGGCCGTATCAGTTCTGATGAAGGACCTTCACCCAGACACGACGACAACGCAGTCCTGAAAAGTCAACTAGTCTCTCCCCCGTGAAGGCCTCCTTCCCTTCCCTTTACATCTCTACAGATAAAACGTTGTCGGGGATAATTCCGGTTCACGTGGAAGCGATAAATAATTCTTTATTATACATTTTTAAGGCCAGACAAGTAGTTTGTTGAGGGTTGGTTTGTGAAGGACTACACGCCTGCGCAAATATATGTTCAGATGCGCATATGTCACACAGGTCGAGGGGAGGAATGCTCGGATGACCAACCGCCCCCCCCTCTCTTACTGCGTCACCACCGTGGGGAGCCGACACCACAGGCACACAACAGAGGACTACGGAGACACAGGTAAGTTTCAAAGGAGGAACAATCTTTATTGAACGATAAAACAAGGGGCATCAATTGGATAGCCTTCACTGTCCTCTAGATATCCTTCTGTCACGGGCGGGCGTGTTGCAACTATCGCGGTGTCCCCTGGGCGGCAATTTGGGGACTCCGTTCACAGGGGGGCGAGCCAGCGAATCACTAGACGGCTTCACCAGCGATGCTGCATGCTTCTGGACTCAAACAGTAAGTAGAACAGGTAAGGATATTCACAGTACCGAGAACTCTCATCGGCACACCGTAATGGAGCAATGGTTTGAAAGCTTACTTTTTCCCAGCAGTGCTGCCGACTTCCGAACTCGGGCAATAAGTATAGCAGGTAAGGGCTCTTCACAGCGCACGGTACTCTTCGGTCCACAGGAGGAAGACAGTGAGTTAAGGGTTTGCTTCGCCCATGATGCTGCGTCCTTCTGGACTCAAACGGTAAGTAGAACAGGTGAGGATCTTCACAATACAAAATACTCTCTTCAATGTGCAACAGGAAGACAATGGATTAAACAGGGTACTTTACCAGTGATGCTGTATACCTCTGGACTCGGACGGTAAGTAGAACAGGTAAGGCTCCTCACAGTACACAGTACTCTCTTCAGCTCGCAGTAAGGAGGCAGTGAATTAAAAGGTTGCTTCCCAAATGATGCAGTGTACTTCTGGACTCAACAGTAAGTAGAACAGGTAAGGCTCCTCACAGTACACAGTACTCTCTTCAGCTCGCAGTAAGGAGACAGTGAATTAAAAGGTTGCTTCCCAAATGATGCAGTGTACTTCTGGACTCAACAGTAAGTAGAGCAGGTAAGGATCTTCGCAGTACAACGTACTCTCTTCGGTACACAGCAGGAAGACAATGAATTAAAAGGGTACGTTACCAGTGATGCTGTAGGCTTCTGGGCTCAAACAGTAAGTAGAACGGGTAAAAATCTTCACAGTACAATGTACTCTCTTCAGTGCACAGTAAGGAGACAATGGGTTAAAAAGGGTACGTTACCAGTGATGCTGCATGCCTCTGAACTCAACAGTAAGTGGAACAGGTGAGGATCTGCACAGTACTCTCTTCGATTCACAGTAAGGAGACAGTGGGTTAAAAGATCGTTTCTCCAGTGATGCAGTAGGCTTCTGGGCTCAAAACAGTAAATAACAATTAAGGACCTTCACAGTACAGAGTACCCTCTTCAGTGCAGCTGTATCACACTGGACTTCCAATGGGGAGCAGATATAGTAACTTTCCACAAACGTGTAAATGGGGCTAGGGCCACTTCTCAGCAAAGGCACCGCACACTTGTGTTCACTTCAATTCCACAGCCACAAATCAATGTGTATCAATAAGGCAAAAGCACTGCAATTCACTCACACATTAAGGCTGGTCAGAGGCCCCACTCCGTTTGTTGCGCTCGCTCCACGAGGGATTTCTCTCTCAATTCCTCCTCAACACACTCTGAAACACATAGCTCTTCCGACAATCAGATCCACATTAACTGCATCCTCTTCCAGCAATTTGAACGCTCATAAGATGAAATCAGTTCACTTATCTCTTCTCTCTCTTTCCACAGCACCAATCCAGACGATAGCTCAGTCCAGCAGACTTCCCACGAACGGTCACTCCGATCCAGCAAACTCAAATGGGCGATCTCCACACCACAACGGTTTTCCTGAGGAAGCTTGTATCCAACACTGCTCCAAGTCAACCCTTTAGGCTCTTCAACACTTCCAACTAACTGAGCAACGCGAACCCACTGAACAACGACGACTCCACTGAACATCAACGACCCCACTGAACATCAACGACCCCACTGAACATCAACCAAAACACTCTCTGAATGGTCCCTTTTTATCC